TGTATACACTTCACATATACTACGACCTCCTCAAACACACCAGTGAAACGGTCGTGTGGCCACTTCAAAATCGAACGCAACTTGATACTACGTAGTATGTAGCGACGTCACTCCAGTGGCGTCATAGGGTTATCGACCAATTAGAACAGACGTCACTGTTGACGTCAGTTTACGACCAAGCTCGATTGGCGTGCGGCGTGCTCGGCCATGGACACCAGAAGTTCCTTCTGCAGAGCGCACGTATGTATAGCATTAGATATAGTATAGTCACAGTAGTCATGCATGTAGATGTAGATAACGCCAATCAATCAGTTTACATTTTCCTCTGCGTTATCAACTCTCTACAGTCACGAAAGTACTCAAACCTGTCTGAGTCCGTATTCAACTGGGGTCATGCCATGTCGGAGGGATCTGTCATCAATATCTTGAACGAAGTTATTGCGATCATGCTCCGTGACGCAGATTTTTTCTCGACAGCCCACAGTGCAGTGCTGAATTGCTTCGAAAACGTATACATGACAACGCATACGTTCCGTCGTGGTTTTGCACAATGGAAGTTCTTTCACGAGGACAACGACAAGCGTTGGAGTTTGAAGACGTTGAAGGGTGGGGTTGTTGGTCGGAGCAAGACCAACAACCCCACCACTTCAAGTGCGATGTCATAATGAAATACCTTCTCGATAGCATTTATTTATATTGCCGAAGAAGAAGTGCTCGCTGACGCGATGTCCCCAGACCGGAAGCACTTAGCCGGCTGCCCGGCCACGTGGATCTACAGCACTCATGAACAGCTCTCAGAACTGGTTGCACCGAATGAGGACGGATTATCTATGGCGAACGTGTACAAGTCGTATCTTGAGGGCATGGAGCTCGTGTAATGCCACGACGACGACATGGAAGCACGTCTCCTTGATCGTTTTGCCCCCCCCGAGCAACCTCTGTCTTCACCTTGATCCACGCTTTGATCCGTCGAGTAGCCCAAACGTCCTGGTTGGACCACTGGCAATGATCCAGTGGTGGAAGCTGGTGCCATGGCCTGTATTAACGACATGGAAGCACTCCTGCTTGGTCGTTTTACCCCCCTAGGTACCTCCCTGTTAACCTCTAAGAATACTCAGACCCACCCTGTAGCGCCCATGTCGTGGTTGGACCCGCTTGCAACGATCCTGTGTTGCTAGTCGAATCGTCTGTGCCTTCAAAAGCGACGAGTTGGAAAATGCTGCAACGATATTATCCTTTTTATCACTGACGCAGCACGTATTTAAGCCTATATGGTGCAGTTTACGACCGAAGACGAAAGGCGCAAACGTCACATGTTCAAGTCTCAAAGTATTATACCCTGTACAAGCCGCTGTATGCTATCGGAGAGTTTCTCGGGGTCCGTATGCAATACATCGACAACACCAAGTACGAGGAGATTGTGACGGCTCATGAGGTGGTTATGATGTTGTATGGACGGGTGGACGCGATTACGTCGGTTAAACTCGCAGTGACGCTATCGAAGAAGGTAGTCGCAGCCCTCATAGCTGGCGAGGTCGAAGTTGTTGCATGCCTTGGCGACTTTGCATCTCATGTTTTAGAATTGTAACGTAATCTTCGTGCTATGGAGAAGACTTTAATGTATCGACTTATTTCATGTGGCCTTATCTGTTATTGATGTGATGCCGTAGTATCAATGTCTCAATGGCGCGGAATGGTGTTAACTTCTGGATTCTAACGACTCAGTTGGAGCCTAAATACGCTTGATTACAACTGAGAGTACACTGTCCATTTTCTTCCATCGGGAGATGGCAACGACACTGAGACCCATCAATGAAGGGAAGATGAGTTGTCAGTGACATTTGCGGCGATTGGGCAAAACGGAGAAACACTCTAAACTTTAATATTCTACTGATGTTCCTCAGACACATTGTATTGTGGATCTATGTTTACATAATATACAGTCAACGACGAATTTTAAGGGACACTTGCTTCTTCGTATTTGGCAAGTAATTCAAATATGATTGGTTAATGTACTTCGAAATTCGATAGATATAGCAGCCAACCAAAATGTAGAAGCACAATTTTGCACAATTTCAAACACTGTGTGAAGTATTTTAAATTGTTTGGATTGATCAAGCACTTAAATAAATAAGCGTTTGACGCGATAGCGCAGTGGTAAAACACGTTGTGTGTCTTGAGTGAGCCCCGGGTTCGAGTCCCGGGCGCGTCGAACTTTCTCATTTATAACAATAATTTTGTATTCACAGAAAAACATAAACTGTTTCATTGAGGTATAGCCTTAGCAAAGCTACGACGAATTTCTTGCGGAGTAATACGCGCCCATGCCTTAATGGCACGGTCAATCATAACAAGGCGCTTTTTTTTGCGCCGGGACAGTCATCATATCTACATCTTCCTCACTTTCACTACCTTCAATCAAATCCTCATCTAACCATAAGTTTCTCAAATGCCGCTTGTATGGAGCCATAATCCCAACGTCCAAAGGCTGGACCCCACTTGTCGCATTCGGGGGAATGTCAGCCACGACGCACCCGACCTCTTCGCTTGCAATCTTGCGCCCTTCCTTGCTCACATGCGACTTGAAGTTGTCCAACAAGAGTGCAGACGGTTCACGCACTTGGGGTCTCAGCACCTTGCGAAGGTAAATGGCCCAGACGCGCGAGTCCATCCAGGCACGATTTTGTACTGCATAGAAATGTCCAATTGGGTAGGAATCGAACTCGTCTTGCTTAATGGGGCCACCAGGGATGCCACGCAGGATGAAGAGAATAGGAAGTTTCTCCCCGTTGGCAAGCACTACCGTCATCCGGTACGAGTTCTTGTCACCACTTGAAATCTTCGCGCTGCCGCCTTTGACTGCCCAAATCGCGTTAGGAGGCATGTCATAAGTCATACCAGTCTCATCGACGTTGAAGATGGCATCAGGTGTGTATCCGATGAATGCCTTGTTGAAGACTTGAGCAAACGCTGTTCGTGTAGCGCTGAGCTCTTTCTGCGACTTCTTGGCCTTAGAGATGGTAAGATCTCTTTGTCGTCAACTTGCAAGTAAGGTTTCTGTCGGGTTAAGTCGTGCTTGGCGCAGAACCTTTGGAGGAGCTTGAGCAAAGCCTGGTAGCCGCAGTTCTTGTTGGCCAGGTATTCGTCAAGCCATGGACGCTCATGACGCTTCAGGAAGTTGACGAGGTGCGTGCATGTGACGGCCCGCTCAGCATCTCGAAGCATGTGCATGTAGGTCTCGAGTGCTGTCGTGTTGGGGATTTCGGTAGGCCTGCCCGCGCCATCAAGGTTGTAGCGTCGCTGTGGTCCGTTGAACTGGAGGAGCTCAGCTGTCTGGTTCTTCCGTCGGGAGAGGTTGCTCTTCGGTATCCCGGTGGCTGCCTCGAGGTCGCGTGTTGACGCGCTTTGCATCTTGACTACCATGTCGCGCTTGACAGCCTGGGTGTAGCGTCTTCTTGGCTTCTTCTGGGGGCTAATCTTGTTTGCGCTGCGTCCGGGGCGTTTTCAAATGAGTGGTCACCTTGCCATGGTAGTCAATTGCCCGCGAATTTAAAATGTTTTTGCGCGGCATAATGTTATAATTAATCATGTGATCGCGTTTTCATTAATCGAGTATGATTGGTAGTAATACTTTGTGATGGAAAATAACTTCGGTGTCCCTTAAAAATCGTCGTTTACTGTACAAAAGGTAAAAACTGCATTGAAACTCGATTTATCTACTCAATTGTACTCCATTATACTTCACAGGCAATCGAAAATTACATCTTTGTCCAAAGAACACGTCTTTGGTCAAATTTTTCTTTCTGCTACGCGTTTTTTGTATTATAGAGAAAATTTGTATACTGCAGCAAAAAACCTTTGAGACTGCATTTTTCTTTGGTCAAACTATAAGGGTGCGATTGGTAACATTTCAAAAGGTTTTTCAGGGTTTGTCGTGATGAATTGACTGTGAATGAAGAATAGTGACACTCGTGAATAATGAGTGTGTTGCCACAGCCGTGACCACGTTGCTCGTCAGTTTCAAGCACAAAGTTGGAAGGATTTACTGTTAAACAGACAATGTATTGAATTTTTACAAAGAGTTGGTAGCACACTACATCATTTAGCACGCGGGCTTGGTGGTGGAAGGCACAGGGGTGGACGAGGTCGACGACGCCTTGTTGGCGTTGATGCGGCCGTACCCGAAGTCGTTGTTGGGGTACTTGGAGTTGTCCACACCGCCGCAGTTGGCAGTCGAGGGCTTCAACGTGGCCGTGTCGACGGTGTTGGCGAGCAACTTGTACACAGTTTCGTAGGTGGCACCAGGGTTGGCGTTAACAATCAAAGCAACGGCGCCAGCAACGTGGGGAGCAGCCATGGAGGTACCCGAGAAGGTGGCGTAGGCGGTGTCGGAGGCCGAGCCAGCCGAGCGGATCGAGCGACCGGGGGCAGACACATCCGGCTTGATGCGCTTCTGGAGGGGTTCCGGGCCCTTGGAGCTGAAGCTGGCCAAGGCGTCGACGCTGTCCGTGGCGCCCACACCGATCACGGACGGGGAGTCACCGGGGGAGCCGACGGTGCCGCAGTTGGGGCCAGCGTTGCCGTT